CGAGTGACTGTGAAACACAGCTCGAGTGTTGCTGGATGCAGCTGCACGTCAAGGAGTGCAGCAATTGCTCCATTTTATCCGTCGCCGTTCGGCCAAATTAGGAAAACCTATAATCACCCTAATACACTCAACGCATCTCAATAGCTCATCGGATTCACAATGCTGCGCTTACGGACTGGAGAAGAGCCAATGCCTCTACCTCCACTAAAATGTTGGTAGTGCAAGTTCATTCAGAGCCACCAGCTCCGTGCTGGGGAGACTCATCGGGCTGGCGACTGGGAACTGCGGCTTTCTGCTCCACATCCGAGTGCGGCTGCGCAAAGGGACCCCGTGGCCACCCCTCTCTACCTCTTTTTCACATCACAGAGGAGGAAATAACAGCAGTTGTTTGCTTGTTGATGGAAAACTCTCAGAAAACATCTGGGAAGGCTGTGAATGGAGCTGTAACTGTATTAAACCCAACCATGAATTGAAGATCCAGAAACTTCTCATGTGCCTTCTCACCGCGGCGAGAGATGAGGCTCAGCTCCCGACTGACACACGAGCCCAGGTTCCCCAGTTTGCTCCTAACTGGCTTTGCAGCTGCAGCTGGTAGGGCAGTTACCTAAATTTAATTATATGCATGACTGCGGCTGTGACGAACAAGGCAGGTACGAAGTACTCCAGACTAAAGCACGGTATTCATGAGTAACACATTCCCTCTGCAATGCTTCCCAGACCTTGGCTTTGGGCTTGTTGATAAATACTTGCAGTCACTTGTTCTGTCAACGTTAATTGCGTGCTAAAGCAGACTCCAACAGCACAAGCTTTTTTTCTTTTTCTTCTTTTTTTTTTTTTCCTTATTACAGCAGAGGATGGCAGTAATGATTTCTACATCAAGGAGCTCAGTGAAATGATTTGCTTTGAATTTCATCACCGCAGAGTTTATCATCAGACGTTTTTCTATTTTTAATGCAAGATTTCTTTTTGTGAAAAATGAACAGTGCTGCCAGCTCAGCTCCGGCCGCCTCTGGCTGCTCTCGTAGGCTGCCCATGTCAGCTCCTGCAACGGCCAGGGGTGCCCGCATGGACGTGCACATATAGGTACATATAGAGACATAAAGATGAGTCTTCATCCCTGCATGCCCCTGCACAGCATGAACTGGTGCACATGTACAGCAGCTATAAGGAAGGTTAATATAAGTGAAGGCTCTATATGGGCACAAGGGGAGATGCTGGATGGATGGGAGTGGTCCCTACACATCTGCTCCCTTATTCACCCGAAGCTCAGGCACATACAGGTGTAGGCGCAGAGCAAGGTGATGCAGGGAGGTGGTACCTTGAGCAAATCCCTCATCGTGTCCCGTCCCTCCTGCCACCGATGGAAGGGGACAAGGTGTCACTAATTAAATACCAGTGTGACTGAAGAGCTGTGATGGAGCATGGGGAAATGCAAAAGAAAACATTGAAAGCTCCTGGATTTGTGCTTCATCTATACTACTCTATCCCTCAGGCTAAGTAAAAGAGATTTAAAAGGGTGTAGAATTACTGTAGTGCTCAGGCATTGCCCTACCAGAGTAACAGACAGGAAAAAAATAAGTGAGAATCAGTCCCGGTTACTTCTGACCCTACCGAAGTCCAAATTCCCTGATTTACACCCACATCTCCCTTCTTCCAGCTAATCCCACGAAACCAGTCCGAAATGCAGAGATTTGACACCGTGCCCAGCGAATCTGGTCTTCCAAAAGATGTCTATTCATATTTTATTCAGCTCTGCGGAGCGTAATTTTCTAACTCCAGCACAGAGAGTAACGTCTGTTCCGACAAAGCCGCCTCCTCGTTCCGAAGGCTGCGGAAAGGCCACGCTCAGCTCCACGAGCTCCTCTTGAAGGATCATTTAATCACCAAAATCGATTTATTGATTTTTGTAACATAGTTTCCCTCTGATGTTATAATAATCGCGAATTAACTTGGAAGGAATTAACGTTATACAAGAAAATTCAAACAAAACGGGGAACGCTCTTAAGCACGCGATATTTCTTTCCTACAGCATTAAACACTGGTTTCATTTGCTGAGCTAACTGGGACAGCCAAGTTCACAGCCAAGAAAAATCTTTCCATCCCTCGGGTCAGATCTTGCTGCAGCGAGAAGCTATGGAGCGTCTGATCAAAACCCACCACCCTGCCTAGACGCAACCGAGGACACAGCAGCGGTGCGCTACCAATTCCAACTGCTTTAGGAAATTGCAGACACGTTTCTCAATGAGCAGGACAAGGAACCTATGCCAGGATGGTTGCTGCTTGCTTTCATCACCCAACACTTGCCTTATTTGCACTGACCCACTCATACCATAATCATGATCAGCTGTTCATTACACAGAGGAACATCTAATGGCCTCAACCATAAACTAGAAATCCATCATTCTGGGTAGAAAACATGAGATTTCCAGGCTAAAATGGGCTACAAATGATGATATGTTCAGCTCTGGGGTCCCCAACACAAGAAGGACATGGAACTGTTGGAGCGGGGCCAGAGGAAGCCAACAAGATGATCCAAGAGCTGGAGCACCTCTGCTATGGAGACAGGCTGAGAGTTGGGGCTGTTCAGTCTGGAGAAGAGAAGGCTCTGGGGAGACCTTCCAGCACCTAAAGGGGCTGCAAGAAAGCTGGAGAGGGGCTTTGGACAAGGGCGT